CTGCCTTCCATTCATCACATCAACGATTTTCATGCGACAACAGAGCACATTCTCTGTGACCCACGACAGCGGCGCTCGCTGCCGCCCGGTTCTGTTGCAAATCTCATCGATGACCTTCTGCAAGTTCCTTGTCACCTGCAGCAACCTTTGTGGCGGATAGCGAATAAAACACAAGTCAGTGCCACTAATCGCAAAGCGTTGCAAGACTGCCAGAAAGCGCGAACAATCCCCCACTGCAAGTACTCGAAGCACTGGGCTATAATTTTTCAAGAAGTAGTTTCGAACGCCAAAGCCGCCATCCACCCAAAATTCGTCGATCCTATCCAGCAGCACCTTCATACTAAGGCCCTGATACGGAAACAAATACATGGGCCAAAGGAGCCTCAAGCTGTAGCAATATAGGCCCCACACAGTTAAAAAAAATAAGAAACAGAGATAAAGACAAAGACAGAAACACACAGACACAGAGACACAAAGACACAAAGAGACAAAGAGACAGAGAGACAAAGAGACAGAGAGACACAGAGACAAACACAGAGACAGAGACGCACACAGATAGACAGAGAGAGACAGACAAAGACAGAGACAGAGACAGAGACAGAGAGAGACAGACAGAGACAGAGAGAGAGACAGAGACAGACAGACAGACAGACAGAGACAGAGAGAGAGACAGACAGACAGACAGACAGACAGACGGACAGACAGACAGAGACAGAGAGAGAGAGAGAGAGAGACAGACAGACAGACAGACCGACCGACCGACCGACGGACCGACCGACCGACCGACCGACCGCGACAGACAGACAGACAGACAGATAGAACAGAGATAGACAGACAGACAGAGATAGACAGAGACAGAGATAGACAGGGACAGAGACAGGCACAGAGACAGGCAGAGAGACAGAGAGACAGAGAGACAGACAGACAGACAGACAGACAGACAGACAGACAGACAGACAGACAGACAGACAGACAGACAGACAGAGAGAGAGAAAGAGGCAGAGAGAGGGAAAGAAACAGCGAAACGGACAGAGAGAGACAGAGACAGAAACAGAGAGAGGGAAAGAAACAGCGAAACGGACATAGAGAGACTGAGCAGAGACAGCGCGAGAGAGACAGAGAGAGGGAAAGAAACAGCGAAACGGACATAGAGAGAATAAGCAGAGACAGCGCGAGAGAGAGAGAGATACGGAAAGCGAGGGCAACCGACATAGAATGGGAGAGAAACAAAGCAAGACCGCGACACAGAGAGAGAGAGACAGAGAGAGACAGAGACGGCTCTCCCGCCCTGCGGTGTATCTTACACACTCTCGGGCGGTAAGCCCCATTCCACATTGAAGGATGCTGCCAAGATGCCCGAACGGCCCCCGTCGCCTCATGTCTCTTGCCTCTATCCTCTCTACCGTCTGACTTTCTCCCTGTGTTGGGCCGGCACGGAAAGCGAGGGCAACAAACATAGAACGGGAGAGAAAAAATGCAAGACCGCGACACAGAGAGAGAGAGAGAGAGAGAGAGAGAGACAGAGAGAGACAGAGACGGCTCTCCCGAGTTGGGGTGCACACACACACACACGGGCGGTAAGCCCCCTTCCACATTGAAGGATGCTGCCAGGATGCCCGAAGTCCCCGCCCCCGTCGCCTCATGTCTCTTGCCTCTATATCCCCTCTACCGTCTGACTTTCTCCCTGTGTTGGGCCGGCGCCCGGCTGTCAGGCGTAAGCCCTCAAATCCAGTCAGAGTCCAGCCCAAATCCATCCAGAATTATGCTAAGCTCGGTCCCTTGTTCGACAGGTCTGAGGCACCATGCCGAAAGCATATTCCTGAATATAGTGTGCAAGTATATGATACAGATTATTAGATCATGATACTGTAGCATATAGGTGATATGCTATTGGATCGTATGTTGTCAGCTGGGCCCTCCTGCAAGGACAAGGTAGCAATCTCCCTGGGCTTTAGCTTCGCCTTCCAACCTGGCCGCAAAACTCGTGGACAAACCCACGGTAAAAACCAGGAAGGCAAACACCAAACAGCGCAAACGATCGGTAGAAAAAGCTCCGGTATTCCACACCATGAGAATCGAACATGTTTGCATTACTTTGGGAACTTTGGAAAGCAAAATTGATATCGCGAATATACACCGTGCCTAGCATTATTTCGGCTATTTATGACTTCAAGATTGTGACCCCCGGAAGCAGCTGCGCCTCTGCCGGGCCACGCGCAAGTGGCAAAATGGCTGCAGCAGCAGGATTGCTAAAGAAGTGAAAATCGAGCTGATTAGGGCACCATCAGTTTTGAGAAAACCAAATTCGTGCTTGCAAAGAAACTTCTTTCTTTCCATAATGCTTCTGTGGAAGAAGCTGTCTCCAATGTATACACAATATTGTGCAATGTCCATGATGCTTGCAAAGAGCACCGTATAGTCTGATTTTGCTAGTTTGCATGGCGCTGTCCGCCATTTGCCAACAGTGCCAAGACCTTTTTTTGAAGCTGCAAAAGGTAACTCGAGCAGAAGGTCATTCAGAACATGGAGCAAGTGACCGACGCAGTCACGACAAGCCAGAATGAAGAATGCACATATGTGTATGTATGTTCAAGTTGTATCAATGCCACACAAATGTACTCTGTCAAAGCATCAAACACAAGTATTGAACTTGCGACGCGCTCACGCGTTTGGCTATTAAAAAAGAAGTATTATGGTAAGGCCTTATTCCCTTGCGCACGCGTCCGAACGTTGCAGCGGAATGCGCTGGCGCACGCGTCCAAGAAATGCTCGATGAGCACGTAGGAACGAAGTGAGAAATGTGGACCCAGGGTCGGTCACTGCGAACAATTTCGACATGATGAGTCAAGGCTGTCTGTGGTGGACCATGCGGGGTTCGAACCCGGGACCGACGGCGTCGGAACGTAGCGGAATTGCTTAGTGGTACATGCCGGAGGACGAAAGCAAAATGTATGAAAAAATTGCATTATTTCTTGTATTTGAACATCGAAATGTATGAAAAAAACAATTATTTGGGGGGGTTCCGGACCGCGACGGAAGCCGTAGACGAATTATGAGGGAGCCAAGACTAAAAATGAAAAGACGAAAAATCAGGACATAATCCGATTATTTCGAACATTTTGCTTCAGAAATCCGCGTATTTTTGCTCGATCGCGCCCCAGTCCGTAATATTAGTAGTAATTAATTAATTATATTATATTGTTTCGTTATTCCATACAAATTCAATGGTCGGATCCGGAGAAGGCCACATATTAATACAGAATTAGATGTATTGATGAATATTAATATTATCGGAGGAAATTTCTCAGGCCATATCAAGTCAAAACAATCCTATCAACACCTTGATTGTCCACCCACCTCATATTCTTTATAGGAATCCACCAAGTCAGAAACGGCAAAGTGGCTTGGCTAATGTAGACTCTTGATGATACTTTAATCTCCCAAACCTCGAAAGGTGATTCAATCCATGTCTGTTTTTCATTGAATTTTCAGAATCAAGAGTCTACAATGCAGGTTCAATAACCCCAGTAGTTCCCTGTGAAATTTGGATCGGGCCCACATGAAGCCGACGAGGCCTCTCCGAATCCAACAAATGAGGTGAAAGAAGGTGAGATCAAGATGGCCGCGTGGCCGCAACCAAACAAATGAATCGATTTCAAGGAAATCGTTCCCAAGCGCATTTCGTACCGAATAAGGACCATACAAGCTCTTGCTCCTTCGAAAAGGTACTAACATGTACTAACACACGTCTTGGGCCAGAACCAGCACTAGCACCCAGCCGGGCAAGTCGAATTCGCGGCACGCAGAAATCTGTGCCTCAGATCGATGGGGAGCGACCATCCATAAGGAGCCGGATACCTGGACCATCCATACCTGTACCCTCGAGAGACGTCTTTTTTTTTCGGAGTAAGTTTTGGGGACCTGTTCAGGGCCTGTGACCAGCAGTGTTCAGGGCTCCAGGTATAGATCTAACTTGGGCATATCTCATTTACTCCGTTTGCAAGGGTCGGCCCATCGATACAATATGCCCCATAGATGGTCTGCGGACATCCCATTTAACCGTGGATGATGATGGATGATCATTGTTAGTAAAGGCCTTGAAAAGGATAATCTTTTGCCGACTGGTCATGGGACACACCCCAGACATAGCCCATTTGACGTTGGCATAGGACAAGGCCATCGATGGCTCCAACACCAAAATTGCGCCCGCATCATTATTGATATTTATAGATATTTCATTATATTTCCATGTTCTCGGCAGCCCCGAAATTGGAATTCGAGGTGTTTCCCATGGCACTCGGTGGATTGTGTCCGAGCAGTGTAGTCAATACGTATCCTATTCGGTATGCACGCCAACGCGCAAATGCATGTTCAACCAATCATACTTGGTGCGCTTTCACATGTCCACCTATTTGGGGGGACTTTAGGTCCTAACATTGAAGACACCCCGACCCAGTCTCAGATCTTTCTAGACAGACTTACAAGGTGACATAGACTCCAAAATTGTTGAAATGTATTGAAATGTAAAAATCTGTCCCTTTGGACAGTTTCAGGTTTCTTCCTTCCCATTTTTTCCCCTCCGTTCATTAATCCCACACGTGCCAAATCGTGCCAAATGCGCTTCTGGCACCAAAACAGCTCCTCCACACACATCAGGCTCAGGCAAGGAGCCGAATTGTCAGAAGCGTTCTCAGAGTACTCTGACCTTCGAAGACGGAGAACCCACCAGGGCAGCTGGGTTTTGATGGGAAGGGGCCTCGAATGACTCGAATGTTGAGTGAAATTCATGTCTCATGTCTCAACAAGGCTAAGGGACTGAAATAGGCAGCAACATGTTAGTGTTACATAAGTAGAGCACCCACACAAAAAGAAATGAACCAACCATCTACCTTGACACCTCCATGATCCTCCATGAGCATATTCATATGTCCATCCATTGTCCAGGTCTATTTCTCAACGTGTGTCCATCTTCCCCGACCCCGGTCTTTAAAAAGACCAATCTACGCCTCCCGTTCCCACCGAACTCTGCCAGTTTGCCCTGACACGATCTGCCACGGACACGTCGTCTGCCTCGGCGGCGGACGCTCGTCGCTGAAGCTCTGCGTCTCGTTCGTCTCGTTGGAGCCGTTGGACACGGAGTCGTCGCCGTTGGGCCGTTCGGAACGCACCTCGGACATCGGCCCAAGCAATGCGGGTGGTTTCGCCACAGAGATGATCGTCATTTGCGCGCACAAGTGTGCATGTTATATAGCACGAACATATTTAATGGTTGGTACGTTGTTTGTTGCTGTTAATACCTGAGCAAATATCAATCCAGCTTAACATATTTATATATATATATAAATAAGAGTCTCTGCGCTCCACATTGCTCCCTCAGGACACTTGATTTCATGTTTTGGGTTGTGACACGCATGGAAAGGAAACACTCCAAGTATGGCCAAGTATGGATTGTAACCCCGCAAGAATGGACATCGGCTCCTGAACCGAAAACTCGACCTTAGACGGGGTTTCGATTTTATCTTATATACGCATGGTTTGTTGAATGCTTTTGATGGGTTTGCAACGGTTCTGGCCCGCCTCGCCGCTCTCCATCTCCCCATCCGAGGTCTCGCTGCCCTCATCGGAGTCATCGCTGAGCTCATCGGACTCGTCGCTGAGCTCATCGGTCGCGGTGCGACTCGCGGGGCCGCGGAACCGCGCTGAGCTGGGCGATAAGTGGTTTGGCTGGACGCGAGAGACAAGCGAAGAGCGTAACGAAAAGAACACATGAGGAGTGTGATGAACACGCTGGCTTAGTCATTTCATGAAGCACCGGCATTTGAAAGCAAGCGCAAGGAGACAGGCGATATATTCATCAAATACTCCGAAACTTGTATTTCTTGGAAGAATATATAGTGGGTATTGATCGAGAGTCGGTAAGGAATTCGGAGATGAAAAAAGGTGAAGGCACCACGCCCGCCCAAAACAGGCGGCTTCGCCACACTGGCGGCTTCTGGCCGAGAAAGCAAAATCACCTCACCCCAGTAACGCCTGGTGTAAACCGTTGATTCATAAACAACCATGATCACCTCCCCAGTTGGATTCCAAAACTTCTCCATCGTGTGATCCAGATGCTTCATCATGCTTCCAACATCTTCCAACCCTCCACGTGTTCACATCTTCACCAAGCCCTCAAGTTCCCAACTGGCCGATCCTGGCTCTGCTTGTGGTCGACCAGGGCGAAGTCATCTCTGTAGTCTGGGTCCTGCGCAACTTTTCGACAAACCCAAGTGTGGATCGAACAACTTGAACTCTTTCAGCAGTCTCCTTGTTGTTCTTCTCACTATCTTCCTTGGCTACGATTCATGACGTTCTTCAGTTTCTTGATCTTTACAAGAAAAGCTTTCGTTTTGTACCCAAACGCCCGATTCGCGTGGATTTGCCGCCACCGGGAAAGTACAACAAAAATCAACGCAAAGATTCAGCGACCAACAGATCGATGAACTGGTCCAGGATTTGATCATTCAGAACTCATCTCATATATAAATGATTTTTCATGATTGTTTTAAGAATCAATTTGGAGCTGGAGCCTCTCTTTTTATAATTATGCAGTATAGTATACAGCAGTATACAACTACAATACAACTGCTTTCTTTCATGGGCTTTCTCAATTGGGGTGTGGGGAGCTAGCTGGCTGCGCATGGCAAGCCAAAGGCTGCTGTTCTAATGAGTCGACCTCTACAGCAAACGGTATAGTGAGACGAGTAGTGTGATTTTGCTCCACTGATCCCGAGTCCTGAAGAGGCTAGTGCTCGTGGTCATGGTGCTGGTGGCATTGTCAGCCCCCGTCGTGTTTTCTGCGGCCACGGCAACCAGGAGGCAGCAAGCAAGCCACATGGAAAAGGAGTCACCGATGGAGGGAGAAATGTGAAGAACATCCGAAAAGCGACCAGGTAATCTTACCTGCAAACATGCCTGTTTCAAATATGTTATCTTTAATCAACCTGTCCTCAAAGGCGAAAAGTGCCTGTCCAGAAAAGTTTGGCCTTGATTTTCTAAAATCTTCTCACAGATTGCCCCTGCAAACCGGAAAAGCGGAAAGGAGTGGTTCAAAGCCCGCTGTACTAGTCTGGGTTGGCCATGAACACTGACAGTCTGGAGACCTTCTGCCGTCACTATGAAGCCATGTTCATGCCTTCATGTCTGCATGCCTGCTCCCAACAAAAGGTCTCGCGGCACGGACACAATGCTACCTCAAGCTGTCTACGCTCCCGAAAACTAACATGGACCTGACAATGGCCCCCTGAAAATTGTGTTCCTCTACCAAGCAGGGGTTTTCAGGGTCCATGTTAGTCTTCTCAGAGTGTACCAAGAAATCTCCTTGGTCGGTCGGATATTCCCTTGACTCGGCAGGAGCGAAGTTCAGCCCGCTGAAACGATTTTCTTCTGCATGCGAGCAGCGTGGCCCCCACCTTTCTGTGAGCAACCACAAGCGATATATACAGGACATTCATCACAGCGTTCACCTGAATCACAAATCCATCGCAAAAACAACAAGATACAGTAAGAACATCACTTTAAGGATCCAAAAGACCTGCCAGTGCTCAGTACGGTTTCCATACCAAAAATCCCAACTCAACACACGCCATGCCTCGACCTGATCTGTTCGAGGAAGATCTGCAGTTTCGACTCGACCTGTCAAAGCCGATGTTTTGTTCAGAAGCACGGAGTAAATCGGGCGTTGCGGGGCTGCCAATGTGTTCCACGCGGAGCTTTGAGCTATCAATCCTTCGAAGCTTGCGCACGCTTGTGTAAACATGGAAGCTACGTCACACAGCTGGTTCAGCTGCGAGTCGGTACCTGATAATTTGTTTTGTTTGCACATATCTCATGTCTCGCATATATCTCACTTTAAACGCGGCGAAAACTAGACAAGCAGAACACACGAACACACGCAGAACAGTTCGTGTTGAAAGTCACACGCTGCGCTAACAAGCACAGGATCGTTGCTCACAGCACCGGCCACAAAGCCGAGTCCAAGGAACTAGAAAAGCCAAGAACCTTGCCAAGAACAACAACAAGAAAGGGTGGCGAAGAACAACACACATAAAACTTCTTATGGGGTACTCACTGATATATATTGTATAGTACGCCAATTTATTATAGAAGATATTAAAACATATTTTCAAATAGAAGTCTGCATATTCCTCCCGTGGCAGGGTTCCGGGACAAATAGAAGAAAGGCGTCAAGATAACAGGTTGATAAACGTGCTCACCAACAGGTCTTCATATAGAAGAAATAAAATTTTTGGCACAAAATGCACATGAGCCGCCCGCTCTCTTTCCCTTGCGCTCTCACTCTTTCTCGCTCTCTCCCTCCCTCCCTCCCTCGTGAACCAGCTCACAGCGCCGGGCCGAGCGATGGACCCGTTAAGGGGAATAGACACAGAGAGCGCAGCCCTCCAAAAAGGTAAAAAAAAATGCGTTAAAATTGTCGCGTTTTTTTTGAGCTCAGAGACGTCACCGGGTCGCATCCCGACCCGACAGAGACCCGACAGAGACTTGTTTGAAGAAAAATTGTAAAAATTGAGTACAATTTTTAGAAAATTGAGGAGAAAAAGTGTAGAAAAAGTAGCTAGTTATTTTTTAAAGTGTAGAAAAAACGTGTAAAAAGTCGCCAGTTCCTGTCTCCTTTCTCCTTTCGGCCTGGAAGACCAGGGCCTTCCCTTCCCTTTCCACCTTTCCTTCCTTCTCTTTACCTTTACCTTCCTTTCCTTTACCTCCTTCCCCCTTCCCCCTTCTCAGATTCTCCCTTCCCTTCTGCTTCTCCCCCTGCCTTTCTCCTTCCCCCTTTCCCCACCCTTTCTCCTTTCCCTTCCCTTCTCTTCTTTGCTTTTTTTGTATCTTCTATTTGAAGTGGCTCGGGCCTGGAAGACCAGGTCCTTCCCCTTCCCTTTCCACCTTTCCTTCCTTCTCTTTACCTTTACCTCCTTTTCCTTTACCTCCTTCCCCCTTCCCCCGTCTCAGATTCTCCCTTCCCTTCTGCTTCTTTCCCTCTGCTTCCTCCTTCCCCCTTTCCCCACCCTTTCTCCTTTCCCTTCCCTTCTCTTCTTTGCATTTTTTGTATCTTCTATTTGATGGCTCGGGCCTGGAAGAGCAGGGCCTTCCCCTTCCCTTTCCACCTG